ACTCTACATTCTCACATCACTGAAGGTGACATGCTCAACAGGCGGGTGTACATGCCAACCCATTGCAGTTTCAGACGCTATGGATAAATGATAGATGATGAAGAAAGAAAAGGAAAGAGATGACTAACTGATTTAGTTATCATGTACTACAGAACAATGTCCTACAATTCAAGCCTCCTTGTTGGATAAACATGACCTAATCAAATGATCTTAGATGGTACCTTTCTTTGATACAAAACAACAAAATGTAAAAATAGGCATAAACATTGCTAAAGTAAGTATTGATGCATGGCTATTCATATATGGCGGTCATCTTTGACGCCATCTTGAATTTATTCTTATTGATTACATCACATTCTAAAATGTCTCAAATAGTTTATTGACCAATAAAACCTGATATTGATGGGAAGAAAAACGTGATTAGAGTGCGTAATCGCAAAAATTTGCAACAACAGGTTTTTCTACGGATTTAGGTAGTATTGGATGTGCTAAATAACAGAAAAAAATCTTACAAAATCCGGCCAACAGAAAGTAGTTTTTTTTTTAAGATGGCCGTCAAAATAGAGCCCATTATCATAAAACAGTTTTATATTGCCCTTTTTTAGCTCTACTCTAATTAGGAAAAATAAATACGATTTTGGTGTTTATTCAAAATTCAAGAAAACTATATTGTTCCTTTCTAAAATAGGATATTTGTTTTTCCAACAGTCTTGGTTAAAAAGGATAAAATTACATGAAAAAATCACAAGAAAAAACAACTATTAAGAAATACATTATAAATATAAGTTTGTGATGTAATGTAAATTAAAAGAAAAAAGAAAAGTACCGGTAATGTTTATAAGAAATATAAATAAAGATTACGATGTTTATTAAGAAATATAAATAAAACTATTACGATTTTATTATGAGAAATACAGTATAAAGTTAAATAAAATACGAGTCTGTGTATGGAAATAAACCTATAAATAACTAGGTCTGTACAGACATTCAGTACGACAGTTAGGCGACGATAGTATAAAACTAATTAAATTATAGAGTAATGTATGCATTTCATAAATTTAACAAGATAACAATTTTAATTGTTATTAAAGTTTTTGTTAGTAGTGCTAATAACTTAGCTGAACCGACAGAATATATTTGTCAATATAAAAAAAAAGTTGTTGTACTGATATGAGCATTCCAACTAAAATGGTTAAGTGTTTTGTACATTAGATGAAGTTAAACACATTGGTAACAGGAAAAAGAAAGTGTTTAAAGAGAATAAAAAAAGGAACAAATTTTCTAGAATTGAATGAAAAACAACCAATGGAGTAAACATGACGTGTACAGCTGCCCAGGATATTTACCCACTTTCTTATCATTGACTGCTGATACGGAACTAATTGGTTTAGGATCTTAATGAGTGGTTAATCTCTAAATCCAAGGACAGTGTAGATAAGACACAAAAACACTGTTTCTCAGAGTAGCTCCAGTTCCAAAACATGCATTATTATTATTATTATTATTCTCATCATCATCATTATTATTATTTTTTTTTTTTAAAGCATGGACGTATACATTTTAATTTGTTTTACCTTTTCTTAATCTTTTGGTCAGCTTCTCCCTATCAAATCATGTTTGCATACAATAATTGACTGCAGCAATTAAGATTAAATTACAGAACCAAAGGATCCAAAATGAGTTGAAATTAAGTCAAATTTAAAAGCAATCCATGAATAATTCTACCAGACATTAGTATTATAACATTTATTGTTATTATAGGCCCACAGTATATTTATTATTATTTTATAGGCCTAACCATATATTCCCGAATATAAGCCGCGAATTTTATACTTGATTTCAACCCCAAAATTTGGGGTGAGGCCTATCTATGCTCCGATCATCAACCTACTCTTAAAAAACACATTCCGGATCGAGAACCGAGGCGAAAATCGCCTAGGTTAGGCCCAGGCGCAATTTGCTGGCCTAGTATTGCAATTATACTAACACAGTGCGTACCAGAATTCCTACATTTTCTACGACATTCAAGCAATTGCTTTGTTTAACTAATTATTTTCATGTTACGTTCATTCATAAACAAAGTTTGATTATTTCTATTTGAACCCGGGCCCGCTTCACTCAAAACAATTAACTATTTATTCTTTTGGTCCTCGAGATCACGTGAGTTAAGCAAACTCGCTTTACGGCGCCTGGTTGCCAGTAGTCTAGAGCAGTTATAGAATGTACTGTTATGTTTTAGAATAAAAACTTGTGAAATTAATGCGTGCTAAAACACAGATTTCCTTGAAGTTTTAATAATTTTGTTGACTGTAATTTAACTGTAGCAGATGTCTATATATAACGTAAGCCTCCCAGCATCCCGACGTTGTACAGTGTTTCAACCGGCCATGTGCGTTTTGTGTTTTGTGTGTGGGGAGGGGGAGGGGCTTAAGCCCCCATCGGTCTGGTCAAGCCCCCCCCCCCCATCGGCCAAAGCTCGTCGGGCAGTCGGACCAAAAAATGAAAAAAATAGGCCTAATTTCCCCATCCCAGACATTAACGGCCATGAAGTCCCAATTTAAAAGAAAAAAATCTCGTTTCGGGGAGGGGACATCCTCTTCCCATACCCACACCTGGCTCGGGGTTTCGGCCCTCAGATAACACTGTGCGCTATAGTTACACTAGCCGTAGACGTCACACGGTGGAAAGGCTTGTTTAATAAAACATCTACTGTAATTTACGAACCTCTAGTACCAAGTGGTATTCGTTCAAAAAAAATTGTAAACTACTGTAGAGAAGGTGTGAGTTTCCACTACCTAACCTAGCCGACCAGTATGAACCAACGACCAGTGCAGCAGCGTGTTCTATCGCAATCTAAGTTGTAGATTCTCTAGGCCCTAGCTACATTTACCTTCGATAAAAAATGAATTATTTTAATCGCTAGCTAGCATTCTTCCATTTAACAAAATATTGTTTTAATTTTCATTAAAACGTATGTATACTTTATGGAACTTTCTGTCCTGTTTTGTAGTTTTTAGATCGCTCAATTGTGTTGTTTACATGCACTTCGCGACAATCTAGCTTCGCGGTGTCAAATAAGTTGCTGACTTCCACATTTTTTTATTTCGTCATCGTAAACATGTGCGCTCATTTTAACGACTGGCGTTGGTGGTAGTTC